AATAAACACGGATAATTAATCAGGGATAGCTTTATTCGAAACAGGTCAAGATAAAGCTTAGGGACCGAATTTCATGCTCAACACAGGTTTTATTATGTATCGCGATAGGTGAACGCTGTCGATGACCATAGCAATTCCGTTCGTAAAATGTGTTCTTTGTTGCTGTAATTGCATGGATGAGTACAGTGAAGGCCACAGCGGAAGGAAAACGAAGATTCCGACCCCTGTGAGCTCACAATACGCCTAATCATCCGTAAAAGTGAAATTTGGTTATAATGTAAAAAATATATTTTGGTAATCTAAGTTAATCTGAAATGTGATGTACCTAATATTAAAAATTCAATGATGAAAGAATAACAGAGTGCAATATATAGCGCATTATAGGCCCACACGTGTAGGTACCGCAAACTGCCTATTTTAACCGCGAAGCAATCATGCTTTCCGGCTTAGAGAATGGGACAATCGTTATATTCAAATTACACCTGGACCAATAGCTTATGGTGGGTGGTGGCATTCTCATTGCGATGTCTATCCACTGTGGCCGATCCACTCAACATCCGAGTTTGTGAACTCATTCGGTCATCAAAACAACTAAAAAAATATTACCATAACATAGTATTGTTACGCGCTGGGTTCGGGTTAAATAAAACTTCCACCGAAGTCTACAAACTAAAAGTCTATTTAACGCTTAGAATACTTACAGAGCACTTCCCAATTCACAATCGCTTCGTCCGCTTCGCTTCTAGTGATCCATTCGTTGTTTCGCTTCGAGTAGATCCGATTACTAACTGCCTTCGTGTCATCTCTGCAACGCTTTTATAGTCGATAGGACGTCTCTACAATTATCGAGAACATTCTCGATAAGGCTAGACGTTTCGAAATGTGTTTCCGCTGTTTGAAAATAGATGGCGTTGCGCTTCTCGAGCGTTCTCGTGTTTACTAGCTGTTTTCACGATCATTTCTGCTATTCGGCGACAGATGGTGTCACTCTTACCGGCGTAACAGTATTATAGTATAGTATTTCTATAGTATTAGTATAGTATTTGACAAAACAATATTTACAATTAAGAAAAAATGAAAATATTATTTTAAAAAATTTGCTACCTGATTAACAATCGTTAGCAACGGATAAGCCCGGCCGAGCGTTCCATATTTCCTGATTAGATTTCCGTATCAATAATTTCGTGTTTCAAATCAAAATGAACGCAGTCCCATGCCAACTACTCATATTTTCTCTCCTACCTGACCGTTGGTGGCTCACAGGGCTATTCCAATGACGCGCGGACGGATAGGTGAGCTCACGGGCTCAACCTGAGAAAATTTGCTATCATAAGCCCTGGCAAGAACAGTGCTTCGCTGAATCTACCACAAGTTCAGAATCGCGAACCACTAAGAAGATCCGGCGGGAAGCTTAGTGCTTTGTGTCTACGCTTCTATTCCTACACTAAAAACTTCGAAATAATTATTTAAAACTAGCTGACCCGGCAAGACTTTGCAGTGCCTCAATCGATAAATAAAAGACCCACACTTTTGTATAAAATAAATTTAAAACAAACAAAAGGAATCTGTCCGACGGGGGACACATCAAAGAAAAAACAAAATTATTATTTTTATTTAATTCCGAGCATTTTCATATTTATCTACCTTTTAAACCTTCTCTAGATTTCCACAAATAATTCAAGACCATAATTAACCAAATCGGTCCAGCCGTTCTCGAGTTTTAGCGAGACTAACGAATAGCAATTCATTTTTATATATATAGATTCCTGATACGGATGAATAATATCATAATCATTAGCGTTGTGTTTGGTTATTTATTAGTAGATATTCTTATATTTAATAAATGCAATTTAGTAAATAATAGAAAATAGCACAATTATGTTATTTATATAACAAAATTAGAGTGAATTTCGGGCAAACATTATGTCAACTTTGTATTATGTATTGTCCAGACAATATCCGTTTTATATGACAAAACTCGTTAGTGAAATCTTTTAATCTAATCGTTATCGGAGAAAAGTCATTATCGTTAAACTAACAATCGAATGAGTAATCGGCTTTGCAAATAATCTCTTTGGCTTCAATTCTCATTGTGTTAGCTCTATAAATAAAGAAAGAAAACGACTCGATCTCTTAGCGCGTTTATGAGATTTGTCTAATCCCTTCAAATTGTTTTTAATTTACGACTTTAACGTTTTCATTTTATAATTCTCGAGAAAAACAGATCGTTAATAATAGCAGACTTTTATAAATAAAAAAATGGACTCAAATATACTCAAAATATAAATTTTTTATTATATTTTGATTCAGCTTCAAAATATGGAATGTTTAAATTTTGAATAATTATTACGGTTTAAGTTTTTCTTTCCGTAGTGTGAAAGTCATTGAAAACTTTTAATTGACGAGTAGACTATCGTCATTCGTTTACGTAATAAGTAATGGTTATCGGTATCTCGGATCCACAGACCGGGGTCTCGCATTTGGATTTATATTTAGTGATCACACGTTGACGTATGGGCGATTCAGGCCAGTACGCTTGTTTCCTTTGATATTGACTGCGAAATTCTGAAATATCTCGCGTTTAATAACCTCGTAAACTCGAGTTTAGTTTGGCACGGTTACCTTGAATCAGTATTGTTTGTATGAATGAAAAGTGTTGTATTGTCTGTATATCTTTGATAAAAACTATGATATGAGAACTGGGTGGGTTGATAAAGAATTCACGGTAGTCATATAAGCAATTCGTGTTTGTTAAAACTTCTCTGCAATGAAATGATGACGTGGCTGTGTGATGTGGGAAATTGGGAATATAATACCAACACTGCGTTAATACCTTGAATCAGTATTGTTTGTATGAATGAAAAGTGTTGTATTGTCTGTATATCTTTGATAAAAACTATGATATGATAACTGGGTGGGTTAATAAAGAATTTACAGCAGTGATATAAACAATTCGTGTTTGTTACAACTCCTCTGCAATGAAATGATGACGTGGCTGTGTGAAGTGGGAATATAACACTTACCACTGCATTAATTCCGATGGGTATCAATGTTCATTTATCAATATCAAAGATTAAACGGCAAACCTAATTAAGTATTTTAATATAAATATTACACTTTTATGGGAATAAATCCATTGTTACCGATAATTACAGCAATTTACCGCATTGTACGACACGCGACCCGTGGATGTTGAACGCATTGGATATGTTGGTTACTACCAACAATATTCTTTATAGTTTTGCAATCTACAATCAAGGATTGCAATTATAACGTAATTGCCTATAATCACGCTAACACATCTAAGTATTAGCTTAGTATTTTAAAGATGAGAATTCTATTCGACGCAATCTAAAAACACTAAATTGACACCTGGTGATAGGATCTCTTGTGAGTCCGCGCGGGTAGGTACTACCACCCTGCTTATTTCAGCCGTGAAGCAATAATGCGTTTCGGTTTGAAGAGTGGGACAGCCGTAGTAACTATACTGAGATCTTAGAAATCATATCTCAAGGTGGGTGACGCATTTACTTTGTAGATGTCTATGGGCTCCAGTAACCACTTAAAACCAGGTGAGCTGTGAGCTCGTCCACCCATCTAAGAAAAAAAAACCTGTCAAACTGACATATGGCAGCAAGATTAACATTAAAATTCATAAAGAGCAATAACTGTAAAAGAAAATTAGCAATTTAAAATTATGCATAACTATGCGGTTGAAATATGTCACGTGTTTAAAATTAAATGTTAATCAATAATTTGTAGACATTTGACCTTGAACATCAGATTTGACGGAAGCTTCTCGATGACGCGAGATAAAGTTACGTCATCGCGCTCGATGAGTCTCTAAATTAGCTTATATCCGAACTGAAAGGAATTTGCGTACTGGAGCAGGCGTAGATAGACAAACGACGTCACGGCCCGTCTGATGTTAAGAGGTTAGCAAATGCGCTGTTACGTCCCGGCGAAGATCGCACGGTTGGTCTGAGTCTACCAGGTTCAACCAAATCCATCCAGCGATGGCGCATGATTTGAAATAATGTCCTTTTAAACATCATTTTCATGTAGTCAGTAGAGCAATACTCTACAGCACTTAAAGTTCACTTCTACTAGCTGACAGCACGAAGTTCAGGCGACATTTCAAGAAAACACTTTTACTGATGGTAAGACCTCTTGAGAGTCCGCGCGGCTAGGTACCACCGCCCTGCCTATTTCTGCCGTGAAGCAGTAATGCGTTTCGGTTTGAAGGATGGGGCAGCCGTTGTAATTATACTTAGACCTTAGAACTTATATCTCAAGGTGGGTGGCCCATTTACGTTGTAGATGTCTATGGGCTCCAGTAACCACTTAACACCAGGTGGGCTGTGAGCTCGTCCACCCAACTAAGCAATAAAAAATAAATAACAAAACCAAAAAAAGAACTGTCCTGAAAATTTTACAATATTCAACCACACTACAATTTTTTTTTGTTTTTGTTTAGCGTAAACTTTAGACAATAGGAAATTGATTATAAATGAATTATTTGAAAAACTCTGTAATGTGTACAAAATACGGGATGTTGTCTTATTGTAATACGGATGAAGAAGACACGTTTATTTGAATAGCTGTAATGTAAATCGTTTATGAACTCGAACATACGTAACGACGTGGACTATATAACATTTATGTAATTTTGTAAAATGTTTGTTTTTTCCAACAAAACTTTTTATTAATTTATTGTTCTTTCATTTGTACAAAACAGCTGTGTTTATCGTTTTTGGAGCTCATAGACTCGTAACCGTCGGATTCTCTGCACTTGCAGACATATGGTGCCATAGTCAGTGGTCTAAACTAAAGCGCTACCCCATCTTTTTTAATGGGTATCGTAAAAGGCGACAAAACGGTTCACCGCAAAATGGGCAGGGCCGTTCTCTGAAGGTTATTAAATACCGATATATTAAAATTTAGAGGATATGGCGTTGTGAGCCCATACGAAGTAGTACCACCTCTTTCTCTCTTCTCAGCTATTTATCCCACATGGTATTGGGGTCAGGTTTCCTCAGTTTACTCCTCCATTTCGCTCTGTCTTCGACACCCTCGTCAGCAGCATTGCATTCCCTTTTGTCCTTCAGCACTACATCCTTCCAACTTGTCTTGGGTTTACCTCTAGGTCTCCGACCGGGGAGGTCAGGCAGTAGTTTCCGACGTAGTCCTTGTGGCTTCCTTTTTACGTGACCATACCATCTCAGCCTACTCTCCTGCATCTTGTCGGCGATGTCGCGTGATCAGCCTACTCTCCTGCATCTTGTCGGCGATGTCGCGTACACCGAGGCTTCCACGCACGTACTCGTTACGGACTTTATCCAGCCTAGTCACACCGCACATCCATCTCAGCATCTTCATTTCAGCAACTTGAATGGTATGCACGTTCCTTTTGGTTGCCGCCCATGTTTCGCTGCCATTCATAAGAATAGGCCTTATTATGGTCTAAACACTCTAAACGGTACCACCATCCGACATAATTCTGCCTCGAAGCAGTAATGTAATCGTTAGAAGGATCAGGCAGCTATTATGCAATACCAATGACTCTTTGATAACATGACCCAAAGTGGCTGGTGGAATTCCCGTTGTGATTTTATGGACTCCGGTAACTACTTAACACTAAATGGGCCGTGAATTCATTTACCCTCTAGTATTCTAAAAAATGAAATATTTTAATAAAAATAGCAACAAAAAAATTTGCGAAATATTCGACCCTAAATGAGTGTGATTTAAGTCGAAATTCCGAGCCACCTCGTGTCATCACTGCGCCAGTGACCCGGATAGTGGAGGGCGTCGAATGGCCTCCAACATAAAGTTTCTGGAAGGTGCTATATTTGTTAAATAAATTTTTTTAAACAAATTATTAATTTTCGACTTGGTTAAAAGAACATTTAAATAAATGGTCTTTCAAGAACTGTTTAAAGTGAGACCTTAAAACTAATGTCTCAAGGTGGGTGGCGGCATTTACGTTGTCCATGGACTCCAGTAACCACTTAACATCAGGTAGGCCGTGAGGTCGCCCAACCATCTGGGCAATAAAAAATATATTTTTGTAGTTCACAACATAAGTCTGGAATGTTATTGAATCGCCCATGTCTTCTGCCCAGCGTTGTGGGTACAGCAATTACCGGGTCTCGTCGCTTCGGAACCCCCTAACCCATTTACGTTTATGTATGTATATTATTTATTATATAGATTAAACAGTACATATGAGTATTCGCAAGATTTCTTGAAATTGTTCTTATTAAAATTCATAATTTCTTCTATATCCATTTAGAGATAATGTTATAGACTGGTAAATAATTATCAAACTAAAGATCACCTAACAACAAAGTCAACCCAAAATGATAATTTACCATAACAAATATCTGTTTTATAATATATAAAAAAATATACGTAAATATTTAATTGAGAAACATTCATATTAATATTCATTATCTAAATTACCATCTTTTTTTACAATTTAATTACAAATCAGACAATACTCATAATTCGAGCACCAAAAACCTTGACTACGAACGTCTTTATTCAAATAATTATTGCAAAACCGCATGATATATCGGTCGTTGAACACATATTTAGCATTTAATTAATTATGAAGAAAATAAGCATTCGTTTCATTAAGACATACATATATTAAATTTACAAAAAAAATCCTGATTCTAACTAGCTAAGATGGACAAATGAATGATGATAAGATGGCCGCCTATCTGGTTTAAAGTCGTTACTGGAGCTCATAGACATCAATTATAACGTTAAACCCGCCACTCACCTTGAAACTTGAAGGTCAAACTCATAGATGTATTGCTTAACTACCCTAACCTTAAAATCGGAACGCTTAATTACTTCGCGGTAGAAATGAGAAGTTTGAAGGTAGGCAGCGACTTGCGACTTGCTTGTGCAACTGGTGTTGATGAAGTCTATGAGCGACAGTAATCACTGACCATCAGGTGGAATATATGCTCCTATAGTATAATACCCCTAGAATAATAATCCTGCCTATAATCTTCTATCTTCTATTTTCTATATACTGTTTAAGACGATAGTGAATACTAGTCCTGCGAAATTAGTGCTCCATATAAGTATTTTTTTTTATATTTACTAACTATCACGCCACGTTAACTGGTCCCGTGATAAGTTCGTAAAGAACTTGTGTTACAGGTACCAGATAACGGAAATAAATGTAAGATTTTTATTATACACATACACATATTTAATATACATCCATAACCCTGGAAAAGACATTTATATTTATCATACAAATATCTTCCCTTGGCGGGATTCGAACCCGCGACCCCCTTGTCCATGTCACTTACCACTACACCAGACGGCCGTTAAACATAACAAACATATATACATAAAAATGAATTGCTGTTCGTTAGTCTCGCTAAGAACGGCTGGACTGATTTGGTTAATTTTGGTCTTGAATTATTTGTGTTAGTCCAGAGAAGGTTTAAAAGGTACATCAATTTGAAAATACTCGGAATTTTATTTATCGATTGAGGCACTACGAAGTCTGCCGGGTCAGCTAGTAGTAATATAAAAAGATAATACTTAGTCACTCACAATATGCCGTGCCACAAATTAGTGATGGGTGACGATTGCGGTTTGCTGGTATGATACGTAAACAAAGCTCCTGCACATTCAATCAATTTCAATTTCGATCAGGACTTTGACGTCATGTTTCAAAATGTGTGGCAACATGTTCGTAAACATTGCTTTATTTTTAAGCTTCTGCCATCGGTATATAGTCTAAGGGGAAAAAATGTCTATTCCAGTATTTAACGTCTGTTTATAACTGTGTTTATACAACACGCAAGTGGTTTAACATCAAGCAAAGTAGGACGAACTGTGAAACATTAATGCGAAATGTTTAATGAGATTTTTAATAGTTAACATTCATGATGACTTGTTAAGTTGCGGTCTTACTCATAATTGCTTGACGAAGCTTTATAAGTCTGTTATAAAAAAAAACATAAAAATGATTAAAAAGGTATTTTATGTTCGGACCGATTTTATCCCAGATATGGATACTTCCTGAAATATACAGGACAAAATGCTCATACAAGTAATTGTGCAAATGTCGACTTCTAATATATTTTATTAAACCATTATCCAACGACGTAACGCAGCCAGTATCTTGGGAAATGTGCCTACTTCAAGCGCATTGGAAGATTTGTTCTACTGTATGAATTGATTTATGTTCAAATATTTTGATTTCTTAAGATTATTGACATAGTTAAAATAAAAGTGAAGTACAAAAATAGTATTTTTTATTAAAAAAGCCTGTACATTTCTAAACAGGCTTTCCACAAATAAATTTTGAATATCCGCATTCCCCTAATAACTCTCAGTTACGTGTGAATCGTGCAGTAATCTGTTTCAATTTACCTTTTCGTGTTTTAATTAAAATTAATACTCGAATTTCGTTGTTCTGTTCTGCCGTACTGCGAGTGAAGGTGTTATTAGCTATTGCTATCTTAATTGAAATCGTCTTAGATGACGACTTTGATTACAAACACAGTTTTCTAGTGTCGTAGGAGAATAACGTGGTTAAATAGGTATATAGTAGTAGGTAGCTAGTGCCTAGCCCGCTTGAGAGGTCGCGTGTTGCGTTACCTGTGCTACGCTTGGTAGGCAGCGGCTTGGCTATGCCCTTAGTATTGCTGACGTCAATGGGCGACGGTAACCACTTACCATAAAGTAGGCCGTATGCTCGCCTGCCTACAAGGGCAATAAATAAAAAGCGAAAGCGCATGTGTAGCATCCCGACCCGGTAGGCTGGTTCTGTCCCAGTGGTTATCTCGGGACACCAGCGGCACCGCCTGGCCCGCCTTACCGGCACGGCTGACGTCCAGACCCTTTGATTCGCCTCAAAGACTCCGTCGGCCGAGCGTCCTTGGGGTGTGCCGTGTCTCTGGTTGCAGCGTTGACTGCAGTAACCTCTGTACCCGTCTGTACCCCCAGGGTTCCGACCTCGGAAGGGTTCGGGCGCTTGGGTGATAGCGCAAGAGAGCCGTTTAGTAAGTAGGTCCTTAAATTTTATTCTATCCCTGGGCCCGCGGTCAGCTCCCAACATTTCCGGACCATCCAGTCCCACATACAATGAACACATGCAATTATGCGTTGAAGTGTATATATAGTTGTTGTTCCAACCCCATTGGTATTTTAAATAGATTCCCCTCAATGGTATCCCTCGATGCCATACCCTTTAAGTTACAGAATATATAAAAGCTAACTCAAGACGATCGCTATGATTATTGCGTTCGATAATTAATCAGTCGTTTTGTATTATGCTTTCGCAAACAGAATTGTTTCATTAGACTCCGTAAACATGTCTATGTCGTTGAGGAGATTCATAAAAATATTTTTAATTTAATCTGCCTCTTTGTTTGGTGTCACACATTAGTAGTAGATATAATAGAAATGTAGATTATATGACCACTGTTACTATTACAATTATTTTTAAAATTAATAATAATGTTATTGTAACCATTATCCTACTATTTCTTAGTAAAATAACAATAAAATATACAGTCGTGTAGCTCACATGTCGTAGAATATTCTATCTTGTTCTTTCGTAGCCTATGTAGATAGAAAAGAGCCTTAATCAAAGAACAGCAAGCTCACGAGTGATCTGATCTTCTCCAAGTCCTCGTCGCCTTCAGCAGGACAGTTCCTCGTTAATTTTTATGACGGCGTACGAACCCTTCACAATGCTATTGATGAATTAGTGTGATACAATAGCTGTAGTAATAATTAAATTTAAATTTAATCCTTTGGCATTGCGTGCTGCGCGTATATGAGGGGATATTCGAAAATCGTTCAAAATGGAATATAAATTTTCTTCTAAAAATCCTTTTTTGGTTTCTTACGTCTTAAAAGAGAATAAATTGAATTCCACAAAAACGGCGTTGGCACACATAAACACTAAACTCAAAACTGTTGAAGATAAACAAGAACTCATCCAGCTTGCATCGTCTTACTCCAGCTTTCAAAAGTATTTTATCTAATTCTATCACATACTGAACTAAATATATATGGATACGTTTGCCTCTTTTTTTGGTTTCACTTTCCGAGTTTCAGTTTCATTTCATCGCTAACAGAGCTAAAGAAGTTGTCGCCAGTTTCGCTTTCAACAACACCAAGTCGGGGAACGGAAGCGCATACGAAATAAGAACAACCGCGACCGCACATATCAAATATTTCACTAAGTTTGAGATAAGTTAGCTCTACTTTAAGCACGTATTTCTGGTTGTTGTTAATGACCTTTGTATAAACTTATATTTAAAACTAGTGACCCGCCCTCGCTTCGCTTCGGAATCAATAAATTTTATTATTGACTAGCTGACCTGCTGAGCTGGCCGACTTCGTAGTACCTCAATCGATAAATAAAAGACCTAAACTTTTGTATAAAATAAACTTAAAACAAACAAAAGGAATCCGTCCGACGGGGGACACATCAAAGGAAAAACAAAATTATTATTTATCTTTAATTCCGAGCATTTTCATATTTATCTACCTTTTAAACCTTCTCTGGACTTCCACAAATAATTCAAGACCAAAATTAGCCAAATCGGTCCGGCCGCTCTCGAGTTTTAGCAAGACTAACGAACAGCAATTCATTTTTATATATATGAATATTTTATCTTGTTACATCCTTGACTTTTTACCTTCGATCAATCAAATAGATTCGGACGTGTTATCATGAGCGAGATTATTACTATTATAAATCGTGACTTCTCTCTTTGGCTACATTAATCTTTATCGCGTTTACTCATTAGAAAATCTAGTCACACCTAGATCGAGATGTTTTTGTCTCGCTCACGCATTTATGTTTTTTAAACGTTAGATAAAGAACATACGAGTATTATTATTACAATAATCGGAGGATCTCTAGGAGTTTTGAAGAGTTCGTTGCACTTTTGATTTTGCGATCACGATTTCATAGTTCGCTTCGTATATATTATGTATTATACAAGTTATAATTATCGATTTGTTTGTTCTTTATTGTTTATTTGTTAAGTAGATTTCAACTAAATTTGTTTTTTTTCGTAAATATAATATAAATAATAGAAAATATTCCTCCGAATATATCCGCCCATAGATTTCCAAGTATTCAACAAAAGATAGAAATTCTATAAATTCCACTAGAAATTCCAGTGCAACAAAAATATACATGACTAGCTTTTGCCCGCGACTTCGTCCGCGTGGAATAGTTACTTTTAACCGTTTCCGCAGCACATGCAGTGGAAGCTCTCAAAAGGGATTAAAACCCCGATTTTGAAACATTCTTTATTGGTGCTCCGCTTGCATTGGTCATAGCGTGATGTTCTATAGCCTATAGCCTTCCTCTATAAATGGGCTATCAAACACTGAAAGAATTCGGAGGAATTTAAATCGGACCAGTAGTTCCTGAGATTAGCGCGTTCAAACAAACAAACTCTTCAGCTTTATAATATTAGTATAGATATACACATATTTAAAAGTCATAACCGTAAGAAGCAGACACAAAACTTAAACGCCGGATGCATCCCAAAGTAGGGGTACACCAAAAATACACCAGCGCACCTGGCTTGCTTTAAACACGCGAGATCCAATTTAAAGCAATTGAGTCGTTTAAAAGTAGTCATTAGGGAATCAAAAGCATCGCACTCGAGCTGAATTATCAGGCACCGTGGAAGGCTACGAGCGATCAGTATCGTTCCAGCTTTTGAACTCTGTTCGCTCAAGTGGCGATCGAAATGTTTTCACGACCGTAGTAACATGTTTAGTTACATATCTTGAGGTAAGTTTTAAATGAATCGTTACGAATAAAATGTATTTTCTCATTTTGTTTTGATGTGTCATGAGCATGGGTGATATAGGATTTTATTACTAGTAATGCGATGGATGATTTCACATTTCGCGGACAGAAAATTTTCAAAGAGCACCGTCAGAATGTTTTACAAGGTGTAAACAAAAGACTCGCGAAGAAATTTATGATTGTAGAGGTAAAGAAAACGCTGCCAATGATAATAATCATACCCGACGAATAATTAACCTCAATCGTGATTTAAGATCACAACCTTTTGATTAATAAGTCGAGACGGTGGTGTCAGAAACACGTTAAGCTACGTAATAGGAAATAACGTAACGCAGACAATCGTGACCCAGTTATGTTCAATGTCAATACAGAAATTATGAGGCATTACGCAAAAATAGCACACGAACCTTCAATTCGATGTTATGTGTATTGATTTTATAAGTAACTAGCTGTACCTGTCCGCTTCGCTGGGCATTTAAAATTAACATTGTTATTTCTCACCCCGACAAAGATTCTCTTCATTAACGCACCCCCAACTGGTGTAAGGAGTCCAACACTCATATAAATATTAGCCTATCAATTAAGTAAATGTATTTTCTACATGGACACCAAGTTTCAAGTCAATCGGATGTACGGTTCAGTAGTTATAACGGAACATCCGTAAAAACCACTGTTGATTTATATATTAGGATTGCTTGATCACTTAAGAAATTTAAAAAAGTTGTCACAACAATGGCTTGAAATTAAGTTAATAATCTGAAAGAAGATCTGGCGAGAAACTCGGTGAGCTGTGTCTATGGGTTAGTTCGCTCGTCGAGCTCTCGTGTCGACGAGTTCGATGAGGACGGTGACTGGTGCTTGAAAGACCTAAAAGCACCGACAGGGAATTTGGGGGAACCGACAATTTTTTTTTTTTTTTCCTACCTTTTCTAGTAACATCGAAGGGTTATTCTAGATTCACCGGACTAGTAGGTGAGCTCACGGTGCTCAAACCGGGAGTGTTGCTAACACGGGTCCTAGCAAGAGCAGTGCTTCGCAGAATCTACCACCGGATCGGAAACGCGACCCACTGAGAAGATCCGCCGAGAAACTCAGTGGGCTGTGTCTATGGGTTAATTTACTCGTCGAGCCCTTCGTCGCAAGCGACGGGTTCGGCGAGGACGGTGGCCGATGCTTGAGGTACCTAAAAGCGCCGTTGAGATCCGACAAGACATGTTTCGGGCGACGGCGGCTTTGCGTTGCCCCCACATGGCCGGATATGAGAAATATCGTATCGAAGTCATCGTAATCTAAATGTGCAAGTTTCAAGCGATGCAGCTGTGCTGATGTTCAAAATCCCCCAAATACTCGATGACGAACGATCTCCACTATGACGGAATAAAATCGCCGCAAAATTTATAAATTTGCGTAAATATCTATAGGCATTACAGTATAGGGCATACGTTTCACAAACTGTACGAAATGGTTCTTACGTAATATTGTCGTCAGCACGTTTCTTCTACACTTAACGTTTAACTATACATTCACCTCAATAAGGTACAACAGCCCAATTACTCTGAATGTTGAATGCATACCGCACTATCTGCGTCATACATGCATACATACTTCAAGAGGCAGTCTTATCAATTGTAGCATGCTCATGTTTTAAATTTGGTTTAGTATATAAGGCACAAGCGCCCATCCAAACAGTTCCCATTTCACTAATCCTAGACGTATCCTGATTTTGCACGGGCATGTCCATTATGTCCAAATCTATTAGGCCCAAGCACATAAACAGGTCATGACTAATGGGTGGTATATTTCTATACAAATTAATCCATGGAATAACCGACACACCTAATCTTTTAACCCAGATAAAAATATCAGCCTCTAAGTACTTACCAAAAATATAAACCTTTTATAAGAAAGCCCGCTCGTTCGAATTTAGGTGCTGACTCTCCCTTAAACAGAAACCATTGGGACTTCAATAATGTCCACAGTAGTGCGGTCTCCGTCAATGTTCATTCGGAGTTGTTTGATTGCGCTGAACTAGTTTTAAGTGAAATAGATATTTTTTCTAATTGTCTCACAACTTACAGGAAAAATCTGTCGCGGATCATTTCCCTTTTTTTTCAAATTTAATCAAGTTTTAGTTATGTATATTTTTTATTTTTGTTGTCAATGCACTGTCGATTGCACCTATAATTGAGGTGACAAAAGTTCATTGCAGCTTTTGTCAGTTTGTCAATGTTTTGTATTGATGATCACTTTATTGGTGAAACTTAATAAATAAA